AAGATCAGGCAACTCCAAAATATCAGAAGTCAGGCAGGCGGGGCAGAAGGCTGGCCTGGCTGACCAAGGATCTTCTACTGGAGCTTAGGTGAAAAAAGAAAGTGTACGGCTGCTGGAAGGAGGGTCAGGCAACAAGGAAGGAATACAGGGATGCTGTTCGTGTTTGTAGGGAGAAAATTAGTGGGGCCAAAGCCCAACTAGAGTTGAAGCTGGCCATTTCTGTGGGAGACAATAAGTTTTTTTTTTAAAATATGTGAACAGAAAAAGGAGGACCAAAGAAAACATAGGTCCACTACTTGATGGGGAAGGTCTCCTCACAGACAATGCCATAGGCAAAGCAGAGACATTTAATGCCTTCTTCGCCTCTGTCTTCAACATTGATTATGGGCTTCAGGACCCTGGGTGCCCTGAGCTGGAGGACTATGACGGTGGGAATGACAAACTCCCAACCGATCCTGAACGTGTGCGGGATTTGCTGCTCTGCTTGGATCTATACAAGTCCATGGGTCCGGATGGGATCCATCCCAGGGTGCTTAAAGAGCTGGCTGATGTCATCGTGGGACCTCTCTCAATTATTTTTCAACGATCTTGGGAATCTGGAGGGGTCCCAGTAGACTGGAAGCTGGCAAATGTTGTGCCAATTTTCAAGGGCAAGAAAGAAGACCCTAGTAATTACAGGCCTGTCAGTCTCACGTCAGTGCCTGGTAAAATTATGGAGAAGATGATCCTTGAAGTTATTGAAGCACACCTGAGGGGACATGAGGGGTAGGTCCTGCCTTACAAATTTGATTTCCTTTTATGATAAGATCACCCGTCTAGTCAATCAAGGGAAACCAGCTGATATGATCTTTTTGGACTTCAGCAAGGCTTTTGACACGGTTTCACATAGGATCCTACTGGACAAAATGTCCAGCATACAACAAAAACATCATACGATGGGTGAGCAATTGACTGACGGGCAGGGCTCAAAGGGTTGTGGTAAATGGGGCCACATCTGGCTTGCAGATGGCCACTAGTGGGGTCCCTCAAGGCTCCATTTTACGGACAGTCCTCTTCAATGTCTTTATAAATAATTTGGATGTAGGACTAGAAGGTGTTCTGAGCAAATTTGCTGACGACACCGTAGCGGGTTTACGTGGCAAGGTTTTGGTAGCAGGGGGCCATAGGGGTGGTTTCTGTGAGAAGGATCTAGAAGCTGCCCCATGTTTGGTAAGGGCCCCACTGCTGACCAGAGCCGAGCCAATAAGCGATGTTGTTTTGCGCCTCTGTGAGAGCATATTTAAGACAGGGAAAAAAAAACGCTGCGCCACACAGCAGTATGGAGAGTGAGAGGAATGAGGAACAGCCTCGCAGGCGCCAAGGTCAGTGAAGGAGGGGGAGAGGTGCTCCAGGTGCCGGAGCAGAAGTCCCCTGCGGCCTGTGGTGAGGACCATGGTGAAGCAGGATGTCCCCCTGCAGCCCATGGAGTACCACGGTGGAGCAGGGTTCCACGCTGCAGCCCGTGGAGGAGACCACGATGGAGCAGGTGGCCCTGCACCAATGGAGGCTGCCACCTGTGGAAGACCCCTGCCGGAGCAGATTCCGGGCCAGACCTGTAGCCCGTGGAGAGGAGCCCACGCAGGAGCAGGTGACCTGGCAGGAGCTGCTGCCCGTGGGGGACCCAGATTGGAGCAGTTTTCTACTGACAGATGGACCCTGTAGTACGGACCTGAACTTGGAGCAGTTCTTGAAGAGTTGCTGTCTGTGGGAATCCCATTCAGGATCAGTCTGGGAAGGACTGTATCCCATGGGAGGGACCCTATGTTGGAGCAGGGGAAGAAAGTGACTGTGAAGGACTGATGTAGACAAAGTGTTATAGACTGACCACAACCCCATTGCCCATTCCCCTGTGCCACTTGGGGGGGGGGGTCAGGAGGTAGAAGAGGGTGTATGGGGGGGGTAGGTGTCTTTAGTTTGCTTTTAGTTTCTCGCTGCTCTAGTCTGTAGGTAATAAGCAATAAATTATATTAATCTTAAATTATATTAATATAATCTTAATTAGAATCTTAATTAGAATATTAAATATAATATTAAATTAATATATTAAATATAATAAATTAAATATATTAAATATAATCTTAATTACATTAATATAATCTTAAAATTATATTAATCTTAAATAATATTAAGCCCACGCCAGATCAGTTCATCAAGGACTGTATCCCGTGGGTGGGACCCCACAGCACAGGGGACGAGAGTGACTGAGAAGAAGCACTGTAGACTGACCATAACCCCCATTCCCCCGTGCCGCTCAGGGGGAGGAGGTGGAAGAGGGTGGATGGGGGGGAAGGTGCTTTTGGTTTCTTTCCTTTGTTTCTCACTTCTCTAGCTTGTTAGTAATTAGCAATAAATCTTACTATCTTACTATTGGTTGATGAAAAGCTCGACATGAGCTGGCAATGTGCACTTGCAGCCCAGAAAGCCAACCATATCATGGGCTGCATCAAAAGAAGTGTGGCCAGCAGGTTGAGGGAGATGATTCTCCCTCTGCTTTGCTCTCATGAGACCCCACCTGGAGTTACTGCATTCAGCTCTGGGGTACCCAGCACAAGATGGACACAGAAGTATTAAAAGGAGTCCAGAGGAGGGCCACGAAGATGATCAAGGGGCTAGAGCATCCATCCTATGAAGAGAGGCTGAGAGCTAGAGAAGAGAAGGCTCCGGGGAGACCTTGTAGCAGCTTTCCAATACCTAAAGGGGCCTCCAGTAAAGTTCGTGAGGGACTCATCAGGGAGTGTAGTGATAGGAGGAGTAATGGCTTTAAACTAAAAGAGGTTAGATTTAGATTAGATATAAGGAAGAAAATCTTCACTATGAAGGTGGTGAGGCACTAGAACAGTTCGCCCAGAGAAGTTGTGGATGTCCCCTCCCTGGAAGTATTCAAGGCCAGGTTGGATGGGGCTTTGAGCAACCTGGTCTAGTGGGAGGTGTCCCTGCCCATGACAGAAGGGTTGGAATTAGATGATCCCTTCCAACCCAAACCACTCTATGAATTTGGGTTACCAATTGTGCAATATTTGGCACAGTGGCAGTTAAAGGTGCAGTATTGACATCCAATCACCTATAATCAATCGTAAGCTGCTGCTGTCCATTTGGCTTTTTTACTGGCAAGACAGGAGAATTGTAAGGGGAATGCATGCGAGTAATAATACCTCTTTCTTCCAAGCCTGATACCACCCTGTCAATATCCAAATGTGCAGCTGCTGGCAAGGGGTACTGCCTTACATTAGTAATTTTGCATGGGGGAAGAGGTATAGACATCTCTAATAAATGTATAGAATTGGGCTCATCCTCTTCAAACCACACTATTTCCCCATCACCTTGTCTTGTGAAACTCCAGACTGATCCATCAGGCAGTTTCCATGTTCTGCCATATAACAAATCAAACCCTAAAACATTGCTATTAGCAGCACCAATCAATACAGCACAGGTCAATTTCTTTTCACCTGGGAGCCAAAGAGGTGCTTTTTGCTGTAGGGCATTCCTTTATGACTCCATCAATCCCTGTACACTTTACCTTAGTGACTGGGCTTTATATTCAAGTCCTCTGCTGTTTCAGAACTAATTACTGACATCTGTGTCAATAAGGGAATCTACAAAAATTTTCTTTGTTCCTATTCGGATGGTAATGACAGGTTCGTAGTGTTTAATTAAAGAAACATAGTATAACTAACACCCACTAAGCAGGATGGCTCACTGCCCTGCTCATGGATGCAAGTTTTTTTGGGTATTTTTTAAAAATTAATTATATTATGCTGTGGGGCTGAAGGCATGGGTCTAATTGGAATCAATCCATTTCCCATTGGCTGACTTCTCTCTGCTGAATCAATGCTTTGGCTTAGCAATTGTACCAGAACGTGAAGGTTGGTGGTGGATATACTTACTATACAATAACTAACTGCTGTGGTACTTCCAATGCAAAAGCTCTATGCCACAGGTCATTACGTTCTTTGTCCACTTTTGGTTTAAGCTTAGGCTCAGTGGTATGGACTTGGCAAACCCATCAGAGGGGTTCTGGCAGTTTCCCAGTGGTCAATTCAACCCAACCCATACAACACCCATAATTAATCACCATCAAACTGCCCAGACATGGAATTCATTCTTGCTGCAGGTAAAATTCTCTCTAAAAAAGTTTGTAAGCTTGGAAAGTTACTGCAAGTCATTGCAAATTTCAGTCACTATTACCTATGTTGTGTATTATACAAATGCTTGTTTTTCAGGAGCATAATACAACACATGCTGAGAAACTAACAGGTCACAGCAGCAAATGGCTAAGCACTTGCCTTTGGAGCATATCATGTCATAATGTCAGTGTAACAGGCTGCTGAAGACAAAAATCTCACATTACACAATGAACATCTAACACAAAAGCTTTCATTTCTACCCAGTTAGAATACTCGCTATACGATTGCCCAGCAAGGCCTTCTTGCCTTGCTGACCTCCTGTTTTAAGATGCTTTGAGGGGATGCAATAAAAAAAAAAAAAGTGCATTTACGATTACTTCCTCTTCCATTTAAGCATTTCCCAGCATCTCATCAAAAAAAGCACATTTTCAGATGTACTCCTGGGAATACACAGATGCATAATATGTGCAAAATGTTTAAGATCTCAAATTAAAAAATAGATACAATACTTATATTCTTAATCTCTCAGGCTGACTGATTGCAAGCAGAATGAGTCTAGCATACTTGTTACATGCTGAGGTAAAAACAAGACAAGTTTTCTTTTGTTTAGAAACAGACTAAGTAGATACACTGAATTATCCAAAAGCATTACCTATACTTCATTTAAAACATGAAATCAGTCAGGTACACACAAATTCCAAGCCTGTCTGAAAATTTCTTTAGTGATTTGTATTAGCCAATACATTTGTTAACTGCTGATCTTTCAGTATTGACAAAGCAATATACTATTTCTGGAAATTCACGATGAAACCAAAGGAATTTGTAAGAACAGCCTCAGAAGCTTAAAGCAGGTATCATTTTTTATTTGTTTTTTAAAAACAATTTTTTTCTCTTCAAGGCATCTGAAAATCCTCTAAACCCTTCCAGTGTTCATCATCCTCTATATTATGAGCTTCTTAAAGGCTGAGAGTTTGAAAGCCAGCTGAGTGACCCAACACACTATGCAAAGTTTATCAGTTATCAATCCATAATTCAAATGTACCAAGTGACCTATTCACTTCTGTATCTTACTACCTACCATTTACTTGTTTATGCCCAGCATAACTCAACTACAACTTATTTTCAGGTTGGAAATTAAGAGAAATTTCTTCTCAGAAATAGTCAGGCATTGGAATGGGTTGCCCAGGAAAGTGGTGGAGTCACCATCCCTGGGGGTGTTTAAGGAAAGGTTGGACATGGTTTAGTGGGTGATATCAGTGGTAGGGGGATGGGTGGACCAGGTGATCTTGGAGGTCTTTTCCAACCTTAATGATTCTATTTGTGCCTCAACTTTCCATACTGACCATCCCAGACCATTTGGGTAACTTCTGTCTCAAGTACAGCAGATCCCCAACACCTCCACCCCCCCCAAGCAATGACCCACTGAATAAGGAATACTTTATACTTTTACAGGCCTTTCAGAGCCACAAAACACTAAGACTGGGCATCACCCTTAAACTATTGCATCTCAGAACAGCACTATGGCCATTATTGAAATTCATGTTTGAGATAAATTCTCCATGCTAGGGTGCTCTGAGCCCTTTTTCTGAGCACTTTACAGATACAGTGAGACTCGGATGCAAGCCCACAGTGTCAAAAATCAATTTCTCTTGCAAATGATTTCTTGAGTAACACAAGCCTCTTTTTAAGTCCAGCACAGAGATAATGGCCCTTTTCAAGGTAGAGATGCTATCAAATGATGAGCCAATTAAAGAATTATTTGTAATGATTCTTCAATGCATACCATCAAGAAATTGTATATGTAAGTGTGTGTGTGTGTATATATATATATATATATATATATTCAGGAATCGTGTATTTCACCGAAGTAAAAACATATATGAAATGTGATATTTCCTGGATAAGACCATGTATTTTCACAAATAGATGAGTCTTTATGATGAATTGGAGGCTGCAACAGCTGCTGCTCTCTTGGGTTTTGGTGTGGTTCCCTCATGAAATCCATTCCTACAAGTAGAAATACAGTTACTACTTTTTGAAAGAATGATTTTTCTGCTCCTCCCCCCCCCCACACAACTTTATTATAGATTAAGTTCACCAGCTTTTTTTCCAGCTTATCTCAGCACTGAAATCAATATGAAGTTCACCTGTTTCTTATTAAAAAATATCCAAACATCATTGACAAGCTGTTTGGAATAAGTGGTGCGGTATGTTTTTCTCTGTCTTCTGCTGAAGTAACTTGGACTTCTTCAAATAGGGAAAATTTCAGTAATTGAGTAAACACAGACTAAATCAGATATGGCACACCTACTAAAGGCACCCCATATTTTATGTTCCTACTAAACAACTCAACAAGAGATTTCTTTGCTGGTACTAAAAGAGCAAGTTGATTTCTTACAGTTCTCCATGCCTCCAACCAAAAATTAACACAGGCATGACAAAAGAGCCAGTCCCAAGCTCACTGTTGGGTATGACATTTCTATTTCAGCCAAACTTAGTGGAACACAGGTTGCGTTTATACATAAGGTATCTTCTAGCTGCTGCTGGAAAAGACTGTGCTAATCAAAAGACATATAAAAAGGATCCCTCAACTATACCTAGCTCCAGGACTTTAGAAGACAACTACTTTTCACTATTAAACACAATCTACATTCTTCAGAAAAGACTCTTGAATTACTTGGTATTTTTCATCAAGTTTTTTAATGTATTGAGCCAAAAGTTACACAGCTATGTTTTAGAACAAAGAGGATATGCCAAAGAAATTCTTAACAAATTTAACAGCACAGTACCTTATAAGTACAACTCAAGGCATCATAATACATTTTAGAAACCTCTAACAAAATCTGATGTCATAGCTACCTACTTACTGGTAAGTCCCCAAATAACATTGACTAATGAAGTACTAATGAAGTATTTCAATTCTGAACTTTCTTTTTTTATGGGCTAAAGAGGGTTGGGGGGAATTAGAATGCATTTAAAGAGATATCTCTTATAAAAACCCACACTTAAATGCAACCAGCAACTTAATTGACTAACAAATTGAGGCAATGCCACACAAGGCACCACACCTTTTCAAATGTGGTTATTTTATTACAATCCCCTCTGTGTTCTTCACTATCTGCATTTAACAGAAATATCAGAGCTTCTTATACATCCTATGTATTACTAATGGTAAGCTTTTTAAACCTCAAAGAAATATGCTGGCAATTATAAGCCATCCTTTATTTCGTGATATATTTTAAAAGAAAGACCATACTACGTTAAGCATAGTAAACAAACATGTTAACTTTGAATGATGGATTTCAGAATTAGGTGAAATCCATGCAAGACTTCACAATACACTACTTTGTGATAAAAGATCACACCTGAATCGACGGTAGACCTTTTTCAGGTGCCTCATGCGACCAGTACCAGTGGTGTTGCGCCTTTTAGCCTTAGCACTCCAGTTATCTAGAACATAAGTTTCTGTTACTCATCCGCACAAAATAATTAGTTGCACAGTACATTTGAATAGCACAAGTATTAACTGGCAAGAGAAAAAAAAAAAAAGAATTATGAATCAAGTCAATTTCTGCAGTAATACTACATATTGCTGACACATAGTTAAATCAGTGTGAAAATTAAAAACAGTTCCAAACATTTTAAGATGGCAGGTTATTCTTCCCTGGTGTGAAAAAAGTCAAACTAAGGAAGAAAACAAAGAAACACAAGTTTTTAAACTCAACTCAGTTAAGAGTTCCTTACTTACACTTTCTCTTACGCTTGGCAGGGTAACCACATTTCCCACAGGTAGATTTCTGCAAATGGTATGCCTTGGACCCACATCGACGACACAAGGTATGTGTCTTATTTCGTCGCTTACCAAATGATGATGTACCCTTTGTCTGAAAAGCAAGTATAAACTGTCTAACTCCAATAATAATGTCAGAGGCATGCCAAATTCTAAAACAGCAACTCAGTTTTACTTGTAGGTCTCCATTTTTAGAAATCAATTCCTTACAACTCTCTTGGCTGTTCCTGCCCTATTCCCTGCCCAGTGCTGAACTAAACAAAACCACCAATGGATTATCTCTAAGGCACTTCTCATTTCCCTTAAATTCATCACTAGTACATACTAAACTTATTTTTCATGAAGAAATACATTTATTTCAGTCAGGTCTGCCACACACTTGTTACAGAAGACCAGGGCAACTGAAACGTCTTTTACTACAATACTTGCATACCCTCAGCCCTAGAAAAAACCGACCCGACCAAGCCCACAACAGAGAGGAGGCACCTGAGGAGCTCGGCCGACACCGCGGCCTTACACCCCCATACATCCTCCCCGCCTGGGACAAGCAGCACCGTTTTCTCTCTCTGAAACAGAAGCAGCACCGGGCCCGCCCCTAGGCCCTCGGGCCCGGCCCTACAGCGGCCCCCCTGCAGCGTTAGCCCACCACCGAACCCAGTCGTAACAGAACACGACGCGCCCACGCCCCGCCCTCCCCACCGAGGCCCTAGACAAGACCCGCAGAGGCCAACACAACGACAGATGTCGACCGATACCCCCCCCCCCCAAACTTACACTCACCATCTTCCCTGGCCACCAGCACCAAAAAGGCTGAGCTCCGCCCCGCTTCCGCTATGGGCTATAGTGCACAAGCACTTCCGGGTGAACGGCTAGGGCCAGGCGGTGGGGCACGAATGCTGTCTGTGGGCCTGGCTTCGCCCTAGGTTGTGTCAGAGGTCTCCTCCGTATGGTGACCCTTTCCTGCCACCAGGCCGGCCTCCCAAAAGGATAGGTGCTCCCAGTGATATCATCTACTGGGTCCGATGGGGATGGAGTTAACTTTCCCTGTAGTGGCCTATATAGTCTTGTGCTCTGCACTTGTAGCTAGAACAGCACTGGTGTCATAGTGATTCAAAGATCGAAGCCGAAATTCCTTTAAGTGGTATATTCTTTATTGCAGCGCTGGATGCACGGGGGATCTCTCCACCTATCGTGCATACCCAAAGCGGAAAGCAGTCTTGAATTTATACAATCAATCTATCAATATTCTACAAGCGCCTATACATATGCATTACCTATCCCCGCCTTCCCTCGCTTCTCATGCTAATTAGCCTTTTGGCACCTTGCGCCTGCGTAGAGCCTCCCAAGAATTGTGGGCAGGGGTCTTCGGGATGTGGGCAGTGGTCTTTGGGAGGAAGACCCCGAGTCTTCCTCACAGTGTACTTTTCACCTTTGGCCAGGAATCTGCTGAGTTGGCATGTTTCTTAATTGCGAGAGCTGGTTGTTGCTAATTCTTCCATTTGTCCAGTTTTGAGATTTATAGTCCTTACATTTGTTTCTCTGTCCGTCTGCCGCTTCCTTATCATGAGTTCCAGTGTCTTGTTTCGAGATATACAGTCCTTGTCTGGGGATTGTCCTTGCCTCCCCAATGCCTCCCCAATACCTCCTTAATATTGTCCTTGCCTCCCCAATATCTCCTTAATCAATAGCAGTGTGTTGTGTATTGCTGAGCAATGCTAGTAAAGCATTAAGACACCCTCCAAACCCCTCCAGAGTCAGTGGGGTCTGAGGGTTGGGAAGAGGTGGGGAGGGGACATCACCAGGGCAGCTGACCTAAACCAACCAAAGGAATATTCCATGCCATATGTCATACTCAGCAATAAAAAGTGGGAAAGGAGAAGGAGTGGTTGGGGGGGGGGGGGCTATTGTTACAAAGAGGTCACTCCTCCCAAGTAACTGCTATGCATGTTAAGGCCCTGCTTCCTCTGGCCCCTGGGGAAGGGGCCAAACATCACTCGTTTATGGGAAGTAGAGAATAATTTTCTCTCTCTCTCTCTCTCTCTGTGCTTCTGTGTGGCCTTTGCTTGTTGTTGTTTTGTTTGGTTTTTTTTGTTTGTTTGTTTGTTTTTCCTCTTCCTTTTCCCTTTAATTAAATTATCCTTATCTCAACCCATGAGTTGTTTTGATAGAATATTTGAAAGAAGTATGCCCTGACCCTGGTAATGCCAGTGAACTCCAGCTTGCAGCACTGTGCTGGGGTCTGGCTTGCGCCTATCAAAGGGTAGTTAGCACTACCCAGCACCCTCAAGGGGAGGAGGAGGTCTCTGCATTGATGACCAGATAACAAACACTGTGGCTAAACCAGAGGGCCAAGCAGCTGGGATCCCTCTCTAGAGAAAGGGTCACTGATAGAGAGAGAAGGAGAGAGGCAAAGGTTCTCAGCCTCTGGAGGCAACTCCTGGCAGGTGTGAAGGAAAGGTATCCCTTCAAGGAAGATGGTGTTTATCAACTAGGCAAATGGACCATCATGGAGAAAGTTCTCCAGCACCTGAGGGAATTAGCCATGCTGGAGATGGTTTATAGTGATTTAGACAATGACCATACACCCAAAGATCCCCATGAAGTCCAGTGTATGCAATTCATGTGGCGGAAGTTTGTACAGAGCGTACCATCATCACATGCCAGCATGCTGGCAGCGATGAATTGGAGAGTGTCGCGTTAAAGGGGTGTAGCTGATTAACCGTTACGGGCCCGGTTGGATTCAGAGTACTGAACCAGTTGGACATTCACCAAAAACACATTAACCGCCTGGGGGTCCAGTCAGACATTCACCAAAAACGCATTAACGGTCTGGGGGTCCATTCGGACATTCACCAAAAACGTAATAACCGCCTGGGGGTCCGCTCAGACATTCACCAAAAACGTATTAACCACCTGGGGGTCCGTTCAGACATTCACCAAAAATGCATTAACCGTCTGGGGGTCTGGTTAGATTCAGAACACTGAACTATCACGGATAACCACCCTCACCCTAGTTGCATTAATGAGAGCTATCACAATGCAATCAAGTATGGTTTATTACAGCAACAGATAATCAGGTTCTTTTGGATTGCCGGTGATAGTGACTATCTGCAAAAGCAAGCTAGTATGCATGAAATACACAGGTGTTGTAGGTGTTGTAGGTGTTACAGATGTTACAAGTGTTACAAGTGTTACAGATGTTATAGGTGTTACAGGTGCGCAGCCTAGAAATAAACACGTTAAAAGGATCAAAGACTCTATAGAGATTTATAAGCAAGTATTCAGATCTCACCCAAAGGCGTCCCAATGGGGGGGAAGAGAGGCTCAGCCCGTCGACTGATCCCAGGAGTCAGGAGGTCCTAAGGATGTTGTATGTCCTCGGGATGGTATCTCCCCTGACAATGGTATCTTCCCTAACATCCCCTCTCTCTTGGGCCAATTTATATTATTTTCTATCTTTTAGGTGGAGCTTGAGTGGCTCTAGTCAAGCATATCTTAGTTATGATTGGTGTAAAGTTTTCCCGTCTCCGTTTAAAGTAATATGCTCCGAGAAATTCAGAGCGCACGCTCAGTGAGGGGTGGTCGCACCTTGGAGGCGGGTAGCTTTTGGGATGGAGGTGTGTTTTGGTATTATAATGATATTATAATGAGCAAAAAGTACACTAGGGTACAGCATTTGTCAAAACATGACAGGTCTTTGGCTTAGGGTGGCAAAAAGTGCAGCTTTGTGCACAAGAACAATCGAGGCCCCACCTGATTACAGAGCCTAGCCGTGGTGTCTCCACTCCACTCCACGCTCCGTGGTGTTCCTTAGAGCTAGCACACCAAGTTTCCCCAGCGCAATAGCATCTAAGGTTGGGAGCCTAGGGAATGCTCAAGTAATGCAGTTATGCCCTACCCTGAAAGCCTCTTCAATGCTGTACCTTTTCCTTAAAAGTGTGAATGTTAGTTTTATTTTCCTAGTTACTTCAGGCATTTACACCACAGAGAGGTTGCGGCCAACAGTTTTGTGTCCAGCCAACTCCAGCAATATGATGAAAACGTCTCTGTCCCACTATGGGCCTGCATCTCGGCTGTGGAGAAATTGTCCCAACAGGTCCATCACCTTGAAGAACATATATCTTCCTCCTTACCCAGATGGAGCAATATATCAGCTACTGAGTCAGCATTTTCCTGCTCGAGGGAGAGAGTACCTGGGACACACAGCACATGGCATCCTATGGTTTTATGCATCCCATGTCTTGGACAAGTACACTTTTTGCTGGGTTAAAAACTGGCTGGACGGCTGGGCCCAGAGTAGTGCTGAACAGAATGAAATCCAGCTGGTGACTGGTCAGGAGTAGTGTTCCCCAGGGGTTGGTGTTGGGGCCCATCCTCTTTAATATCTTTATTGATTATTTGGATGAGGGAATTGAGTGCACCGTCAGTAAGTTTGCATACGACACAAAGTTGGGGGGAAGTGTCGATCTGCTGGAGGGCGGGAAGGCCCTGCAGAGGGACCCAAACAGGTTGGGTTGATGGGCAGAGGCCAATGGGATGAGGTTAAGCATGGCTAAGTGCCGGGTACTGCACTTTGGCCACAACAACCCCATGCAGCGCTACAGGCCTGGGGCAGAGTGGCTGGAAAGCTGTGCAGAGGAAAAGGATCCGGGGGTCTTGGTTGATGCTTGCCTGAACATGAGCTGGCAGTGCGCCCAGGTGGCCAAAAGAAGGCCAACGGCATCTTGGCTTGTATCAGGAACAGTGTAGCCAGCAGGACCAGGGAGGTGATCATCCCCCCGTACTCATCTCTAGTGAGGCCATACCTCGAGTACTGTGTTCAGTTTTGGGCCCCTCACTGCAAGAACATCGAGGCCCTGGAAAGTGTCCAGAGAAGGGCTACGAAGCTGGTGAAGGGTCTGGAACACAAGTCCTATGAGGAGCGGCTGAGGGACCTGGGGTTGTTTAGTCTGGAGAAGTGAAGGCTCAGGGGAGACCTTATTGCTCCCTACAGCTACCTGAAAGGGAGTTGTGGGGAGCTGGGGGTCAGCCTCTTCTTGCAGATAACTGGCAATAGGACTAGAGGGAATGGCCTCAAGTTGCGCCAGGGGAGGTTTAGGTTGGAAATTAAGAGACATTTCTTCTCAGAAAGAGTAGTGAGGCACTGGGACAACCTGCCCAGGGAGGTGGTGGACTCACCGTCCCTGGGAGCATTTAAGGAAAGGTTGGACTTGGTGCTTAGGGACATGGTTTAGTGGGTGACATTGGTGGTAGGGGGATGTTTGGACCAGATGATCTTGGAGGTTTTTTCCAACCTTAATGATTCTATGATTCTATGAATCTATGATCACAGAGAAGACATGAGGAAATGGGATGGCAAACCTACATCGACCCTAGGTGCTCTGGTATGTGAACTGGAAGGAAATACAGCAGCAAAAAAGGGGTCTCCTAGGAAAATTACTGCTCTGGTTTCTGTTGGACAGTCCCTCAGAGGGAGTAGAAGGGTTGATGTTCCTCATAACCCTGATGAAGGGACCTCTACTTCACATTTGCAGGAATTAAGTGATAGATACTCCAATTAGGACTAGAGGGGCCCTGCCTCTGGCCAGGCAGAGGAAAGGGACAACTGGATTTACTGGACTGTGTGGATCCAATGGCCTGTCTTTTGCATTAAAGGACACTGCAGAATCCAGTGTTTGCCAGTTTCAGAGCCCTGTTAGGAGCTTTCACTGAGAGAGTTTCACACGAACGTATTTAATAAGGAGACACATGTAACAGATTCTGATTGCCATTGATATATACACCTACTGCAATAGCACTAATATATGATAATAGTGTTATCAAAATGCTGTCCCGGGTATCTCCCACCAAAGGGTATAGGCACAAAGCTTACTAACTAATAATACTCTTTTATATCTTAACCTTATCTATTCCCTCCCTGGGGTGACA